AAAACATAGCAACGTTTCTCCTTGGGTGTTGCAGTTGGTGATGTCTACAACTATATTGCTCATATAGCTATCACAGCCAAAAAAACTTTCAGTATGGCTCTTCTGCTTAGACTTGCTACAGGTAAGGAAGTTGATGGTTTTAGGAGCATTCTATGAAGTCAGACCAGTTGGTCCATCTAGCTCAATGCTGTCAACACGGACTGGCAGCAGCTTTCCAGGATTTCAGTCAGGGAATTTTTCCCGGCCCTAACTGGAGATGCTGGGGATTAAACTTGGAACCTCCTGCATGCAAATCATATGTTCTACCTCTGAGCTATGGCCCTTTTCTATATGTTGAGTTGAACCTGCCAGATCAGGCTAATGGCTCATCAAGTCCAGCATCCGGTTCTCACAGTGACCAACCAGATGCCTACACAGGTACTGATAGGAGCAAGGTGGCGAGAGCATGCAATACCATTGTTGTAGCAGCTCCGCTGTCTATTTCCAAGCCCAATTAAAAAGTGCTGGTTTTAACCTTTAACACCTTAAATTGTTTGGGTCCAAGTTATTTGGAGGACTGCCTGTCCACACGTTAAGACTGACAGCAGAGACTCTTCAAGCTTGCCCATCTTTATGAACAGCGCAATTGCCAAGCAGGAGGGAGAGTCCATTCTCCATGGAGGTCCCACAACTCTGGGCTTCCTTACCAGCCAACAACCACACCATACTATTTCTGGTGGCCTACCCATGATGTAGCATGTATACTGTCACTGTGCTCCCCTTGGAGATGATGGAGTGCTGAAGTTAAGTTTTACTGAAGGCCGGCGATTTATGAATCATTGCCACCTTTACTGTCTGTTTTATGATTATTTATTTCACTGTGTTGATATTGTTCTATTTGTATTTAATGCACTATCTTGTTAGCTGCCCTGAGTGGTCTGACTCATATTTGCATCCTATTAGGTGCTTTAAAATAAATGAATAAATTGGAGATTACAGAGAAATAGCATCACCAAGGGAATCTGGCTTCATTTACTCAGGTCATCTCCAGGACTAAACTAAACCCCTAGACAAATGTTTGCACCTGTTTCTACCCCTAGAAAGAGGACCACAAGCCATCCATTACATACAATTTCTTAATTTTTCCATTAGTTGTCAAAGAGGATGGTACAGGAGAGATGGATGATTTAAGGCCAATGGAAAGTCAAGGAAGGTCATGCATCTCCTCATACCCATATTAAAATTGTGTCATTTGTCTTAATTTTAATAGAGGCATTAGGTTCCATGGTATCTTTTTCTTTAGAGTCATGTAGGAGAAGAACATTATTGGACTGGAGCGGGAAAGTGTTAGCAGCGATCTCCCATTTACCTTGTTTCTGTAGAAGTACATAACCAGCTGTGCAACCTATACAATGCAACACACAAAAGAAGTTGTGCATGACTCAAAACAGTTAGCTATTCCATAGAACAAGGATGGGGAACCTGTGAGCCTCCAGCTTTTGTTGGGCTCCAACTCCCATCAGTCCCAGCCAGGGGCTAAAGATGATGGAAGCTGTAGTTTAGCAGCATCTGAAGGATCACAATAACTCAAGTCATTCAACAGAATATTGCTTAACCATTTGAGCCTATGCATGCTTACTGAAAGCTAACTCCCCTTGAGTTAAATGGGGCATACTTCCTGATAAGTGTGGATAGGTATTGCAGTCTAAAATAAACTGCACACTTCACACAAATCTTTAAAAGGGACAGGCCTCAGTTTGAAGACTTTACAACCTAAATATCTATAAGACACAGGAAGAGGAGGGGTGGGAAAGAAGGAATAGGAAGTAAGACTTGCAAAATACATAACTTATAAAGCATGGGAATTTTGGGGAAAGAGAAACCAAGTCATTGGGAGATGGAGTATTGGGTCTAAACCAAGGAGTTTTAGTTCAATGGACTAAAACTCCCATGAGCACTCATCAGCAAACAGTCGGGGATGATAGGAACTGTAGTTCCACAACATCTGGAGGGCCAAGGTTCCCCATCCCTGGTCAAAATCAAGAAGAGTTGCTCTTAAGTGAAAATCAAATCAGGGAGCCACCCATAATCTCCAAGGTACATTAAAAATAAATAAATGCTTGAGCCAGGTGGATTGCCTCACCGGTAAATCAGATTTGTTAGGACACTTCCTCAATGGATAGAAACCTGCCAAGTGCACGCACGCACGTGCACACACGGTCCAAGGATGGGGAATATTGTCAAAGAAGCAAGAAAGAGCTGAGAGGAAGGCAGAAGGGAAAAGAGAAGCCTAGTCACCAGGAGAAGCAAGAGAGGAGGGGAAGAGGAGAGTGAAAGCAAGCAAATACAAGTAAACAGAGCAGAGAGATGAGCTTGTAATTGGGCACACCCTAGAGACCCTTATACTTCAAGGAAGTTTCCACTTTGCCGTTCTAAAGCAGCACTGCACCTGGTACAAACCACAATTTTGTATGAGCACATAAAACTGCTAGCACAGCTCACTCGCTCCCTTTAAGGCCATCCAGTTATGAGCAATAAAGCTGGCAAGCTGAAAAGTGCTTGGTCTTTAATTTCGCTTCCTGCTGTGTATTGGCCTTGTATCCCACATGTGAGACCCACAACCAAGCATGGAGTGCTTCTCTGCAAGAGTTCCAGCTTCTCCATTTTACACACACACACACACACACACACACACACACACACAATTTATTCACTCTGTCTTTTAGTCTCCGCCCTCTCCAGTGTGTTTTTCTTTTAAAAATTAGGTGGTATTTCTCTCTCTCTCTATGTATATATACACACATACATATACACAGCCATGCACATAAAGCTGAATGCACACAAGTTCAATGTGCATAAGCTGCAGGCTTATTGTACAGTGGTACCTCGGGTTAAGTACTTAATTCGTTCCGGAGGTCCGTTCTTAACCTGAAACTGTTCTTAACCTGAAGCACCACTTTAGCTAATGGGGCCTCCTGCTGCCGCCGCACCGCCAGAGCACAATTTCTGTTCTTATCCTGAAGCAAAGTTCTTAACCTGAAGCACTATTTCTGGGTTAGTGGAGTGTGTAAGCTGAACCGTATGTAACCTGAACCTTATGTAACCTGAAGCGTATGTAACCCGAGGTACCACTGTATAGGATTGTGTTTTTAGTTGTGTTCATTCATTGCAATGGATCCACCCCAAATGAAATTTAGCTGAATACTTCCCAATACTTCTGCCAACCTTGGGATTTCCTTGAGCTGGTCCAAATCTGCCTTTCCTGTGCGGATGGGGCCATTTGGGTTACATAAGAACCAGGATTCAGAAAAATCAAGTTCACGAAATATATATAACTCTTCCTTTGAAAGCTCAAAGCCGTTTACTCTTGCTCATTTTTCCATTTGCATAGCTTCAAAAATAATTCATAATTGGGTGCTCCGAGATTATCTTCTGAGCCGGTGTAACCTGGCAGCCTGAATTAATTTTATTACTTAAATATAAGTACTGCTCTCAATTTTCCCAGCAGATGAGGCTGATCCATGGAAATACTTAGATGCCACATGCTAAGGAAATAATAGCACATTCTGAAAATATGGTTGATATAACAAGGGGAGGATTTAAAAAGAAAGAAGAAGAACACATTGTAAAGCACTTGCAGCAGTGGGAATTCTGACAAATAAGGGGAATTGATGGATCTTATTATTGGACACATTTTTTTCTTTGTAGTTAATATTGAGAGAGAGAGAGAGAGAGAGAGAGAGAAATAGGTATTTTCTTTTCCTCAGACTATACAAAGCTGTGTTTCAAAAGGTTAGAATCTATACCTTCGCATAAACTCATTTGACCTCCACTATCTGGACCGCATCCATAAAGCCACTTTATAAAAATGTGCTGCTTGCACAGTACAATAAATTGAACAAAGAGCTCAGGAGGACAGGATCAATGAAAGTGATAAAGGAAGATTGATCTGCTGAATGGGAAGCCTATTAGCCATTGTTGAGAAAGATGAGCACATCCCATTTGTCTCTTCCTCCAAAATTTAAATTACAGAATTACCAAGGGGGCCTTCTAACGATGGCACCAGCAAGGGCCTTGAGGTTCGGCGTGATGACAGCCACACATTCTGACACAGAACCCGGCTTCCCCTCCGCGGGGCTAAGTGAGCAGGAGAGAAATGTCATAAAGGGAACCGGCTGGATACACACGGACAAGCGCTGGTGAAATTGCAAAGCAAAACCCCTAAGGGTAGAAACGTATTTATGGAAAAGAAACGAGAGCCGACTCATATATAAATAACCATTTTAGGGGCTGGTTTTTACAATGAAATCGAAGTTGATACCAATTGACTTGGGGAGGGGGGAGGGGAGATGAGATAGTGGCATAACAAGGGCGACCTATGGCGGAAACCTTTTTTGAGTCCCACCTAAAAATGAAGCAAAGTCTAGGCACATCCTATTGCATTTTCCATTATTTATTATTCCTGGCCTGCTTTCTCCTTCTCAACTTTTGAAATTCAGATGGTAGGGGCAGGGGCAGAATTAGTCTTTATTTCACCCAGGTCAAAGACTCAGTTTGGCACACCCACACCCACACACAGGCTGAGAGCTTCAATGGCAGCCTTCTGGAGTCTTCACTGGGAGCAAAACACCTGGCTAGGCCCCCACCCCCGTAGCTACAGCTCTGCTTAGAGAAGTCTCTTTTTTGCTTCTGCTCTTTTAAAGTACCTTGTGAGCACAGTCCAAAGTCCACTTGTGTGAAATGATGATGCTCAACTCTGAACTATCCTCACCGATGTTAAGGAATATGCATTGGTGCTGAGCTATTCCCCTTTGAAATGTAAAATGTGCAAATTTTGGTTGTGTCTGTGTGCAATAAACAATATCCCAATTTTTAAGACTTGTGTGGGCATACGTTACTTTGTAATTCTGACAAGATGGATTAATTTTTATTATTATTAATTGAATTTATAGAGTACCCTATACCTGCAGGTCTCAGGGTGCTTCACAGGATAAAATGGGAATATAAAACCATATTGCCACTATCTAAGGCCAAATGTGGGGCTTGAACCCACAGCCCTGAGATTATACTCTACCAACTGAGCTATCTTGATCCATGAATCTGTCTAATCCTCTTTTAAAGCCATCCAAAATGGTGGCCATCGCTATTTCTTATAGGAGCACATTCCATATTTTAACTATGCACCGTGTGAAGAAGTACTTTCTTTTCTCTGTCCAGAAACTTCCAACATTCAACATTCAATGAATGTCCCTTGTGCAGGAGCCTAGGCCCTCACTGTTCAACCTTTGTGACTGTGCTAATTTGGCATCAACATGGGGATAGTTGCCAGTTCTCACAACACCCATTAGCGACTCCATGCACTCTTTATTGGGTTGCAAGCCCAAGAGTGGGTTCATATACTGCTCCCTTTCAGCAGTTGCACTGGAGCTATGAAAAGTATGAACTAGGCCATATTGTTAATTGTTTATTATTTTTAAAGAGTGGTGGCGTCGGCTGAAGAGCTGTAGCTAAGCAACCCACTTTTCCTTTATGTTAAAAAACGTATTTTGCAAAGTTCCACTTTTCACTGAAAGCTTTGACAAGCCTCTGTCTTTCTTTATATATAACTGTTATTGGAGGAAGGCCTAAACACCGCCAAGCTGCTCTCCTATATGGGCTTTTCCTATAAAGAACAATGATGCAAATCTTCTTCATTTGGGAAGCTTTCAGCAATTGATAAAATGCACCTATTTTTTATTTTTTTTTAAAAAAAGGAGTTCTCTTAAGTTTTTAAAGAGACAGTCAAGGACTTTTTTAAAAAAAAAAACACTAAATGACTATTATGGGATTGCCATCATCATTCAGTGCCAAGTACAGTCCTGTTCACTGCATTAAAACTGCACACATCTCCAGGTCCCTGGTGCTTTCTCAACAAATGAACATTTATCGAGGAAAAACCTATTGGTTTTGCCAACTCTGGTGTAAAAAGCCAGAACGAAACAAGCCAAGACAAAAACACATTTGATAAATGAAATTGTTGCAACCCACACAGGGAGAGAGAATTGACACTGAGAAACATTTTAGAAATTAGAGCCTTGAGATAGTGAAGTGTTTATTTTCACAAGGAAGCCAAAGCATTTCACTTATTTCATTTATTTCATAAAATGCATATATGATTGGAAAAAGAAAGAAAGAAAGAAAAACTTCAAAGTGGTTTATGGGGATGACTGATTGAACCTCCCCCTTCTCAAAATCCCCTCTGAATTTGCCCTGAACACCTGAAGAAGAATTTGGTAGGAACCTTTGAGGTTCTGGTTTCTCAGTAACTCCCACCCTTAATGTCAGAGACTGGCAGGGCTCTGGCAAGTGTGTGGTGGAGGTGGGGGGGGGCAGAGCTGACCCAGGAGAGGGGGCCAGCAATTTATAGGGTTTGGTGCCACCTGTGAGGCAGGAGAAGGGAAGGGTCTTAGCAGCCAGAGGCGGAGGAGGGGGCACAAGAAAGTTGGAAGTGGGGAAAGAAGCTGTTCAGGCAAGGGGCAGGCCAGTCAAATCCCTCCCCATCCCCTGCCCTGCTGTCTCCTAGAAGCAGGAGGCGACAATAAAGCAAAGTGGTCCCACGCTCTGTTCTAGGCAAACAGCCCTGCAAACGCCAAATGGCAACCCAAACAAGCCCAGAGAATGTTAACGGTGGAAGGCTCTCGTTTCCACAGTATTTTTCACAAGTGTCTCTAACACATCCCACTGGCTTTTGCAGCAATGTTATTTATAAAATGAGGGGTTTTTATCATTACAGTTTATTTGTATACCTCTTCTCGACTCCAAGGGGTCCCCAAGCGAACAGCATATTACATTTTTTAAAAACCACACACAAACAAGGAAAACAATTGATCAATCAAAACAAGACAATAAAATGACTGCTTCCAGACAGTATTTCTATGTTTACTTTTTTTACATCTTTGTCTCAATTCCTAAGCACTCGGAAAGTCTCCTTCTGGAGGACAGACTACAGAACTCTAAAGGGACTACTAACTTCCGAAGAACAAGCCATGTCAGCAACAGCCGTTATTAGGACACAAAATATGTGCCATCACAGTGTGCATCGCTCTGCCCCTTCTTCCAGGATTTATTGCAAATATTTTTATGCTGCTCTTCATAACTCCCAGGGTGGCTTACAGCAGAACGATAGACACATAAACATGAAACCAGAAGGATAACAACAACTAGGCCAAAGAGAGTGAAAAGGAAGAGCAGTTTTAAGAAGCCAAGCATCACATTCAGCAGAAAGGACACAGAGGCAGCACATGACGCAGTTACCCAGGCAAATTTAAAATAAATAAATAAATAAATCTTCAGCCGGTTCCAAAATGCCATCAAGTTCAACACCTGATAAGTCTCCCTGTGGAGAGTATTTGGTAGGCAGAGAGGCACGGACAAGCCTTACACCAAGTTAGACCACTGACCACCCAGTATTTCCTACACTGACCAGCAGTGGCCCTCCAGGGTTTCAGGCAGGGAATCTTTCCCAGGTCCACCTGGAGATGCTGGGAACTGAACATGGGACCTTCTGCATGCAAAGCCATGTGATTCTATGATTCCATCTTTGATTCTACGTGTAGCTGACTGTAGCATCCACCAAGCTCCTATCCTACCTAGAGGAAACGTCCTCCGTCAAAGTGAGGTGTCTACTAGCATAGAACAATGTGTGTCCCATTTCTACCCCAGCATCGCCTAACTACCACCTGGCAATCAAAGAAAGTGACTCATTGTTTGCAAATTCTGAACGGCTTTACTAAAGCTATCAGCAAGCCTCCTGTTTGCCAGCCTCCAAATCTATGTGAACTGTTAGTGGGAGCTGCACCATCTATCAGCGAGCCTGGATCTCATCCTTTTAATTCCAAATGTCTGTCTGTCTGTCTCATGGAGACAGCTACCTTCAAGAGCACCAGGGCTGAAAGAACATTACATCAAACAGGACACACACCCCTTGCTCACTCTCTCTAACCCCCTTTCTCTCTATCTTTCTCTCTCAGCACGCCCTTTCGTATCTTCCCCCTTCATTGTCATCTACATGAACTCAAGCTAAGCAACACAAGCTGCCCCTCTCACTGGATTAGAATTTACTTTTTTAGCACATCTAATGTAGCTTACAAAAGACACACACCACTACCTCCTTTCCTATACTGTTTGTACGAATGGATGAAATTTTCCTGGAGACTGAACTCTTCCTTTTTCTTTCCTTTTCTAAATTGGCTTAATGCAGACATACTCTAGACACCTAAAATCATTTCCATGCAGCACTTCTTGGGGGGGGGGGTAAAGCGAATTGCTGGCCAGATGTATGACTGCTTAGGAAAAGGGACAGAACAGGAGCATCGTTTCACAGTGTGCAATTACATGCCCAATATATACAGACACTGAAATTGAAATGCTGCATAGAAATGTGGATAGTTAAGTGGCATATTGATGTCTTAAATTAAAGCTCTTCCCCCACCCCGTATCAAGCAGCATAGTTCTGCCACGGAGAGGTGGTACTCACAATTCATATCCTAAGATCAGGTTGTATGCCACTACAACTCTTCTTTTTAAGACATGTGGTATGGAAAAAATAGTATTTTGATAGTATAGCTAGAGATCAAACCCTATATTGCTTGCAGAGAATCTCCCAGGAGACTCAACTTTCTTTCTTTCTTTTCTCTCTCTCTCTTTAATGACATCTAGCATAAGATTCTGATATTACAGTTTGAGATGAAACACTCGCAATAAGTCAGCACCATCAGAAGTTAGAGTAAAAGGATTGCATTAATACACACACACACACGCCAACAGCAACAAAATATTCATTTGGCTAGCCTTTGTATTTCTTCTGCTTCCCAAGGGTTGGTGGCATTTCAAGATGGATATTGCGCTCCTGGGACCTAATTTAAGCTGTCAGGTTTCCTAAGAGAACTCATTTTTCTTACTATCCTATTACTCATAATGACGTAGGCATCAGGTGCATGAATTCTTCTTAGCCCTTAGAGGGTGTATTGCCACATCATACATTTTGTTCAACTTGAGACTCGCCCATAGTAGAAGATGTTAATCCATTTGTGTGCAAAAAGGGAATGTGACAGCTTTTTAATATACAGAATTTCACTGCCCAAATTAAGAAAGAACAGAAGGTGGCGCGCAGTTCTATTTACTTATTTCACGTCACAACACCTATATTTTCCACCTGCATTCTTGTCTTCTCACAAATAACTTAAGACTCAAACTTTAATGAGTCACTATCACACTTGCTAAGTATAGCTTATCATCTGGGCTGCTTTGCCAACAATCTGAGACAAAGAGCCATGCGCAATTCAAAATGGTGCAATGAGACAATTAAAAAGGACAGATCCAAACTGCTCTTTAAGATTGGACACAGTGGGCTGGACATGTGGTGTAGTGGTTAGAGTGTTGGACTAGGACCTGGAAGACCAGGGTTCAAATTCCCATTCTGCCATGAAGCTCACTGGGCAGCCTTGGGCCAGTCACTACCTTAGAGCCTAACCTATCTCACAGGGTTGTTGTGGACAGCTCCTTGGAGAAAAAGGAGGGTTAGAAATTGAATAAATATACTATTGTTAGGCGGAATCCAATTGGTGCATTGACAGAAGAGCTTTGAATCCAGCAGCTATCTCAAGCAAAACTAAGGGAAGGGAGCCATTTTATTTTATTTTTTGCCAATTTGCTATTCCCCCTACAATCTCCTGTCGCCCCCTGCATGCTGCCTTCTAATCTATCATTATCATTTCGACAATTTATATAAAGCTTAAGGTCTCTGACATACAGAAGCTCAGTACAAGGAAGATAAAAATTAATTTAAACTATAAAAATCAGAATTCAGCTAAAGCCCCTACTAAAATCATAACAAAACTAAAAGAAAAAAGAAAAAAAAAGCCTTGAGTAGGTGCTAGAAGTTCAACAATGAGGGAGCCCGTCTGACCTCAACTGAAAGCAAGCTCCATAACATTTGGCCCACAATACTTAATGCACAGCTTATGGTAGATACAAGCCACACATTCAAACCATAGGGGGCCACTAACAATGACTTTGTACCCATTACTTGGCTGGAAAACAGCACTGCAAAATGCAGAGACGTGAATTTTGAAGGACAGGTGTGTTTCAGCTTGCGTATTGTTTCAAAAGTGCCAGTTACTGAGATTTACCTTTAAATGCAAGCTGAATCTATTACATGAATATGAGTATAAGGAAATGTTTATACAGAGCTTTAGGACTTGAGCAGAGACCTCCCTGGTCTGAGTCCAGCACTCCATTCATTGCAGTACACCAGCTCTCAGGGCCAAATCAGGTATGAAACCATTTATGCAGTTCTCAACTGCTGGGTGTGTGATTTCATGGGTTCATGTGTGCTTGTGTTTAAGTAAATCTACTGAGGTACCCCCAGTTTGGATCAGGGACCTGGTGAAGATACAGAGGTTTAACCCTTTGCCTCCCACTGTGGTCCCTATCCAGATCTGTATCGTTGTCCCCCACCCCAGTTCTTTGTGTCTGCTATTTGCATGGGAAGGAAAGCTCCCATTGGCACCAATGGCAGCTTTCCTTCTGGCACAAATAACCGGTAGAATCCCCTAATGGGGGTCCCACTGGGGTCACAATCCAGATCACATACACTGTATCTGCTATTAGTGCTGGAAAATAGGCTTCTACAGGTGCAAATGGGAGTTTGCCTTCCAGTGCAAATAGGTGTGGTGGGCAAAAGATGTAACACTCCTTTCTGCCCTACCTCATCAAAGTCCAAGTTTAGATTATTCCCCCATGCTTGCTATTTGCATATTTAAAAATCATCCACACACTTGCTAATTGTGTGAATTGCTCCATGTCTAGCTTGGCACTTGGACTGAGAATTGTGCATGGTTTTAAAGAGTCCTCTCACTAGTGCTCATCAATTCCTGTGGATGAGCCAAACTTCAAATGTTTTGCAAGAAATAACTTGTCTCAACTTAATCCCTCCATACCATTTGGTAAATCTCTACCGTACCTTTAAAGCAATCATTCCTTCTAAATGCAAAAAAAAGCCCTAATGTACACTGTTCTTCTTGTGTGAAATGCTCCATCCCTCTTTATCAGTTGAGCTGCCCTTCTCTCTTCAGCATGCAGTACATTCTCCAGAGCTGCAACACACAAAATCTTCCCGTCACCATGACCTACTTATTCTCGCTTTGCTCTTTCTGTAAAGAGTGTAAATAGAAACCTAGCCCCTTGGCACCCTCGATCTGCCTTTCATAAGGCAGTCCCAAATGTGAGCAGAATACTGGCTACACCACCATTCATTAAGCAAACTAAATGTCAAATCCTTGCTGTTTCCAGTTCGTTTTTCATGCCATTATTCCTATTTACTCGTGTCCTTTCATTTTAGAAAGCTGGTAGCTGGCCATGGCTTAAGAAATGTCAAGTTTCTGTTAAGCAGTTAAAAGGAGCCTTATCCAACCTGGTGCCCTCCAGATGCTTTGGACTACAATTCCCATCACCCCCCAGGTCACTGTAGTCCAAAACGTGTGGAGGCCAATGGAAGCTGATTTAAGAGCCTTCCAGATGTTGCTGAACTACAACATCATCAGCCCCAGCAACCATGGCCACTGGTCAGGGATGATGGGAGTTGTAGTTCAGCAGCTTCTGAAGGGCCAAAGGTTCCTCACACCTGGTTAAAGGCTAATTCCAGGTGAAGCATCCATTCCTAAGGTACCAATGCAACATTCCTATTGAGAGTTCCACTAGAATTTGCAGCAACCCAGTTCCTACATAATGGAAGAGAGGAAGCACTACTTTGTTGTTGTTGTTGTTCTTAATTCAATTTATATACCCCCTTTATCCAAAGACTCCAGGGTGGTGTACAACATTAAGAACATAGTCTACGCAGCATAATAAGAAAAACATAATACAAAGCATAATAGCAAAATAATCCATAATAACTGGAAAAGAGGAGGCTGAGAGGAGATATGATAGCCATCTTCAGATATCTCAAGGGCTGTCATATGGAAGATGGAACAAGCTTGTTTTCTCCTCTTGTGGAGGGTAGGACTTGAACCAATGGCTTCAAGTTGCAAGAAAGGAGATTCCAGCTAAACACCAGGAAAAGGTTTTTGACAGAGTTGTTTGACAGTGGAATGGATTCCTTTGGGAGGTGGAGGACTCTCCTTCCTCGGAGGCTTTTAAGCAGAGGTTGGACGGCCATCTGTCATGGATGCTTTAGCTGAGATTCCTGTATTGCAGGCGTTTGAACTAGATGACCATTTGGGTCCCTTCCAACTCTACAATTCTGTGATTCTATGCTTCTACTGGAGGTGTACTCTTTGAGTGCTAAACACTTTGAGCTCACAACCTTAAGATAAAGGTGGAAGAAAAGGTGAGAGAGGGTGGAAAATGTTCTGGATTCAGCCTCGCCAATGAAGCAATAATTCTATATTTTGTTTTATTTTTAATTCTGAGCCCCTCTCATCGTTAACCCAGTCTGTAAGAGAGGGTTGCCTAGATCTCCTCCTCCAGTGGAAGCAATAGGGAGCCTGTGACACACACACACACACACACCTCTACCTGGAGGCTGCTAGGCTCCAACTCCCATCAGCTCCTGACAGCAGGGCTGTAGTCCATCATAATCTGGAGGGCTACAGCCCCAGCCCCAAGTGGCTGCTATTTACTTTGAAAACCATTCATGCCATGGCAAATTGCTTGAGTGGTGCCGTGCCTGGTTTGGCTGCAAGAGAAGTTAAACTGATCCTTACTCCCCAAGTTCCCCCACCCAGCACTGCAAACTGACCTGGGTCCCAGCTTTTGCTATGCTTCAGATAGATCCTACCTCATTAAAGTAACGGTAAAGGGACCCCTGACCATTAGGTCCAGTTGTGACCAACTAACTCTGGGGTTGTGGCGCTCATCTGGTTTTATTGGCCGAGGGAGCCGGCGTACAGCTTCCGGGTCATGTGGCCAGCATGACTAAGCCGCTTCTGGCGAACCAGAGCAGCACATGGAAACGCCGTTTACCTTCCCACCAGAGTGGTACCTATTTATCTACTTGCACTGGTGTGCTTTTGAACTGCTAGGTTGGCAGGAGCAGGGACTGAGCAACAGGAGCTCACCCCATTGCGGGGATTCAAACAGCCGACCTTCTGATCGGCAAGTCCTAGGCTCTGTGGTTTAACCCACAGCGCCACCCGCATCCCTTCCTACCTCATTAAAGGTGTTTTAATCTGTTTTACAACATCCACTTGATCACACCATTCAAGTATGCAAAAAAGCACCTTTTTTAAAAAAAAAAGGCAGCTGCAGTCTAGCTTGGCCCGGAGAAATAAACAAAGCTGAGTTCTAGTTTTAAGGGTGAAATGCTCAGGAACTGCAGACATCCTTATGCATCATTCATGATCCCCTGCTTTCTTACATCCTGTCATGCTTTCCATCATGCTCCTGAGATCTAAAAACAACTCAAGCAGCAGACCTGCACTGGAATTTATTCTGCACGCAAAACAATTAAGAGCCAACAGCAGATTCACTCTTCAGATGCTCCCGAATGGAATTCCAGGCCCAAATCTAAATGTCAGCTCCAAGAGCAGGATTTCATTTTGGCATCGCATTTTTAAAGTTTGCCACCTCTTATCTTTTCCCCTGGCAAAGGCATCCCCTGACAGAGGTCAACTCTAGGGAAATGAGAAATTCGAAAGAAACCCTTTTCTGCAGCTCGTGAAAGGGATTGACTACTCTATGGTCATTTAAATGTGTTTGTGGGGAGAGAGGGGTTATTGGTTTGTTTTCGTTTTGTTGTGTATTTTGTGTTCCCATTTTGTATTTTTATGTCGTGAACCACCCTGTGATATTTGGATGAAGGTATACAAATTTAATAATAAATAAAAATGAATAATAATAATCATAATAATAATCATATTATCACCATTAAGAATGCCCTTGGGAATGGCAACAATCCAAGTACGGAGGAAAAGCTTGGAAGGACTTAGTAAGACTTACAAGCTCCAACTGCCTGACTCACCTCAATTGTATACCAAGCACGCTTCCCGTACCCCCCTAAAAAAAGTATTTAAGGAGACCACTATAAAATGTATTGGGTCTGGAAGGCCACTGAGTTGAGTACTGGACAATGTCACCTAGATTCTGACTTCTTTTGAAGGTGTAAATCACTAGAGACATATGGATTTTTTTATTTTTTTGCAATATTCACTATATTTACAAATATGCAGGATGAGAAGGGCAAACGGGGTCTCTGGTGGCCATGACCAGGATGACAGTACAGTGGTACCTCAGGTTAAGTACTTAATTCGTTCCGGAGGTCCAAATTCAGGAGGTCCTGAAACTGTTCTTAACCTGAAACTGTTCTTAACCTGAAGCACCACTTTAGCTAATGGGGCCTCCCGCTGCCGCCACGCTGGCGGAGCACGATTTCTGTTCTCATCCTGAAGCAAAGTTCTTAACCTGAAGCACTATTTCTGGGTTAGCGGGGTCTGTAACCTAAAGCGTATGTAACCTGGAGCGTACGTAACCCGAGGTACTACTGTATTGTCAAATAAAAAAATAAAAAAATGAGGGTTGATTTGTTTCTGCTATAATTAATTGTGTTTCTTATGTTCTCCATCACTCAGGCTGTATGCGGAAGATAATTACAGCTATTTATAGCGTTCAGATCGTTCACAAGTAACAGGCTTTTGCTTAGTTGTTGTTTTTCTTAAAACCAAAATAGGAGGCAGGATCTTGGAAGTCTCTGAAAGATGCTGATCCTTACGTGAACCCAAACTACTTCATGTGCAGCTAGCCAAAAGCAAAGAGTTACAACAAATGGTTGATAAGTGACTGATCAGGGTCAAAGAGCATAGGAAGCTGCCATACTGAGTTGGCTTGATAGCATGGGGATTGACTACACTGGGAGAATCTCTCCAAGATTTCAGGAAGGGTCCCTCCCAGTCCTACCTGGAGATGCTAGAGATCGAACCTGAGACCTTCTGGTGCAAAGCAGATGCTCTGCCACTGAGCTAAGGACCTTCCCCACAGACTTTGCCTTGCTGTTCTTTCTTCATTCTGCTATGTTATGGACACCTCCCTCCTGGTCTTTCTTTTCTACAGCTGAAATACCGTATTTTTGCTCCATAAGATGCACCTGACCATAAGACGCACCTAGTTTTTAGAGGAGGGAAGGGGGGAAGCCCCGTTTTTGGGGTGATCAGCTCAAAGTTGTGCAGCTTCTTTTGCAAAGGCGGAAAATCCTGTTTTTATGGGGTTCAACTCACAGTTCTGCAGCTTCTTTAAGAAAGGAAAGGAAACCATTTCTACAGTTTCAAGACAGATAATCTAATCAGCCAGTCACATGTCGCTGGGGAAACAAACAGTCTCCGTCTGCAGAACATTCAACAATGGAGGCCTGGGCAAGGGGGCGGGGCTGGAAAGGGAGCCAGTGATTGACCACACATTCGCTCCATAAGACACACAGACATTTACCCTTACTTTTTAGGAGGAAAAAAGTGCATCTTATGGAGCGAAAAATACGGTACTCCCAGTGGAGGTTCATCCATTTGAGCAAATGAGGCCCTCAGTCTGCCCTTAGCCAGCCCTCACTTTCCTGCCTTGTTACTTAACAGCAAGTTCAGGGGGTGGCCCTCTCTATCAGCTTCGTCCTCGTCACTCTCAGTGTTGCCGTTGTAGAACCCGGTAGGAAGGAGGACGGGGACAACACTAGAATTTGTTGGCACTGCCTGTCACTGGCTCTAGCGCCACCTACTGTTGATCTCCCTGTCTTCCGCCCTACCAGTCCAAATAGGCTGAATACCACTGAGTACACTACGCTCCTGCTTAGGAGGGGAGTACTCTTGAACACAATGTCTACTTCCAAGTAAGCAGAATCAGGCCACAAGCTACAAGCATACTTCTGGATGAGGGACCAACTCCCTTCTCTTGCAGGGGCCCAATTAGTGCCATTGCCTTCCGTTAAGAGTTTGGGTGTAATCCTTGACGCCTCCCTTTCCATGGAGGCACAAGTTACAGCAACAGCCAAGGCGACATTTTTCCACCTTCGCCGCATCAAGCAGTTGGTCCCTTACCTTTCCCGCCCCGACCTGGCCACAGTGATCCATGCGACGGTCATCTCCAGGCTTGACTACTGTAATTCGCTCTACGCGGGGCTGCCCTTGAAGCTGTCCCAGAAACTCCAGCGGGTACAGAATGCTGCAGCGAGGCTCCTCACAGGGTCTCTGCCATGGGAGCATATTTACCCAGTGCTTTTCAAGCTGCACTGGCTCCCGCTGGAGTACAGGGTCAGATTTAAGGTGCTGCTTTTGACCATTAAAGCCCTTCACGGCCTAGGACCCTCGTACCTACAGGACCACCTCTCCTGGTATGCCCCACAGAGAGCCTCAAGGTCCATAAATAACAACACCCTAGTGGTCCCAGGCCCTAAGGAAGTTAGATTGCCTTCAACCAGAGCCAGGGCCTTTTCAACTCTGGCTCCGGCCTGGTGGAACGCTCTGCCTCATGAGACCAGGGCCCTGCAGGATCTGATTTCTTTCCGCAGGGCCTGTAAGACAGAGTTGTTCCGCCTGGCCTTTGACTTGGAGCCAATTTGATTCCCTCCCTCCCTCCCTCTCTTTCTTTTTTCTTTTCCTTCTCCTCCTGCAATGAGGCTACATTTTAATATTTTAATGTTCCATTATTTTAATGTTGTATTTTATTTTTGTTTTTAAGTTGTAATCATTCTTCTTGTTTTTATTATTGCTTGTAAGCCGCTCTGAGCCCGGCCTTGGCTGGGGAGGGCGGGGTATAAATAGAATATTATTATTATTATTATTATTATTATTATTCTGAAAACCAGTCATGCATCCAAAGTCGTAACTTAAATACATGCCTACTACATTCAAGGTCCAACCCAGGCACGTGGATAGAATCCCGTAGATCAGGAGCAGTCAACAAGGTACCACCCCAGATGTTGTCTAAATACATCTACCAGCAGCCCACTCCTGGTAGTAAATGGTCAGGGATGATGGAGGTTGCAATCCATCGACATCTGGAGGTACCATGTTGGCCCCAGGGAAGAAAATCTCATTGAATTCAGTAGGGTTTAGTTCTGATCAAATATGTATATAATCATGCAATTAAATGCACTGCTTGTTGTTGTTGTTGTTTAGTTGTTTAGTCATGTCTGACTCTTCGTGACCCCATGGACCAGAGAACGCCAGGCACTCCTGTCTTCCACTGCCTCCCACAGTTTGGTCTAACTCATGCTGGTAGCTTCGAGAACACTATCCAACCATCTTGTCCTCTGTCGTCCCCTTCTCCTTGTGCCCTCCCATCTTTCCCAACATCAGGGTCTTTTCCAGGGAGTCTTCTCTTCTCATGAGGTGGCCAAAGTATTGGAGGCTCAGCTTCACGATCTGTCTTTCCAGTGAGCACTCAGGTCTGATTTCCTTAAGAATGGTTTAGCTCCTGCACTGCTACCAGGAGCTAAACCATGGTTTGTCTCAGCATTACATGCAAATCTGAGCTCATGGTTTGTCTCCCCCTAACAAACCACGAGCAGTAAGCCAAGAACAAACCTCGATTACGAGGTTTGCTTAAAACAACACAAGCCTGGGTTCACACATAACACTAAGCCAAATCATGACTTAGCTCCTGATAGAGCATCAGCAAGCGTATGCGAGGAGCCAAGTAGCCACAATTTTCCCAATGTGTACCAGCGAACTTGCTTGTTCTCACTAAGTCGTAGTTTGGCTTAGCATTACATTCAAGCCAAGCTATTATTTTCCTACGTATGTTGTTGGGGGTTTTTTATGTGCATTTCCTTGTATGTTTAGCACTGAAATAAAGGGCCACAAGTCTGGCTGTACATGAATCATGTGGGTGGGTGTGCATGCACATATATTTGTGCCCATACATTTAAAAGTGATTACTAGATATATGCGCAAAATAGAAAGTTCAGCCCATTTATTACAAGAGCCTTCTATGGCTTAGGTGAAGGAACAGCAGTTGCCAACCACAAAGTTACCGTGTTCTACGGTTTGCTGCCATTGAAAGCTTGTACGGTCCATCTTGTGTGGGAAGCTTATTCCCATTTAAAAAGCAGGAAAATAAGGTTAAGACTTGCAATGTGGAAATCAAAGAGAAACATGGTAGAATACATCATTCATTGAGATTAAGGTACGTTTCCTTACCTCGGAGCTATTTAAGTGGCATGTGTGAGTTCCTGAAAACCAGCCCTCATTTGAACATTGGTCAATGTCCACTTTTTGTAAGTTTATGTCCACTTTCACAACACCCCTGGAAGAAGAATAAGAAATGCCATTAATTCACATAGATTCAACACAACATTTTCCTTTCACTATTAAAAATGGTGGGAATGTAGTGCTGAATCTTAATTGCATTTATGAAAAGCTATGGTTATTTGATTTGATGTACAGTATTTCTAGGATACTAACAAACAGTAAATAACAGCAGAACATCATAAATACAGCATAAATCATATAATATAATTAACAAAGCATGAATAAAACAACTGCAATCTATAAAACACTAGTAACAAAACAGCAACCAGAAAATAAGCTAAACAAGACATTTACAGCATAGGTCATATTATATGATTAACAAATCAATATAGCATTTCTATAAAGCGATGTTAACAACATTAACAAAAAAGCACCTAAAAAAAATAATCAGCTAAGCACTGTTAAATCCATACACACCAACCATCTCACTAAGTTGGTTCTGATAACGAGTGCCAAATTTGCTCTGGTTATTAGTACCAGGAGTAAAAAGAATACCTTTTTAGTGGGCTGTTACACATTAGTGGATAGCTGCAAATGCTTTATGTTTTGTGCAGTTCTTCATTTCAAAAGCTTGTATACTCCTACCCATCCCACAGATGTTGGCCCAGTCTAACCTATTCAGTCTCTCTATTACAGTCTGAAAACAACATCACAACAAGCTCCCAGTCGACTCTTAAGCCTTCTCTGAATCATCATCAGCTCATGTGTTGCTCGACATGAGATGTTAAGCTGGAAGAGAGCCATTCGTTTTGTTTCCGCCATTGTCAATAGCTGCCAGTATCACATAAAGAATCGCATCAAGCAGATTTCACAATTTTCACCGTACTCTAATAGGAGTTGTATTCAGCTAAGATCTCCTCTGAACAGACCCATTGAAATCAATGGACTTTGGTTAGTCATAGAAGCATAGAACTGTAGACTTGGAAGGAACCACGGGGGTGATCTAGTACAACCCCCTGCAATGTAGGAATCTTTTGCCCAATGTTGGGCTCAAACCCACAACCCTGAGATTACGAATCTCATGCTTTACCAACTGAGCTATCCACAGGACTTCTCGTGCCCATTGATTTCAGTGGGCCTACCTACTCTGCGTATGACAAACACTGGATGCAATCCAATATTAGTCAATTAGATTTATGAGCCATTTCTGGAATTGGCTCCCTTTGCAGAATGTTCTGGATTGAATCGGAAGGCTTAGAATTACTTAACCAACTACAGGTACAGAGCCTAAGAGTCCTGCTTGACCTGCTTTTCAATAAACAGGTTTGCTGTGGGGGCCAGAAGTGCTTTTTATCTTCTGTGTTTATTGTGTAGACTCATCCCTTCTTGAATAGAGAGGATTTTTCAATGCTGATTCATGCTTTCATAACTCCCTGCTCAATACAGGGCTGCCCTTGAATACAACGCAGGTACTTCTGGCATCTGAATTTCGGACCAATGTTTTCGGAGAAATATTTAAAAAAAGTTAAATGCCCCATCCAAGCTTCCCCGCAGGCTGCCCTTTTGAACTTGTGGAATGATCCAACAACAATTTTACCAAACTAAGGAACTTTTGACATGGATGCTGGCTGCAACGAGAATTTCTTTGGCCCAGAAATGGAGGACACTACAGGGCTTAAACATAACATAACTCACAAATTACACATTTCTAAGGTCAGGAAGACCAGGGACATTTTCATGCACTTAGGTGGAATTTCATTTCTTATATTCTTGTGAACTGCCCTGAGATGAAGGGGAAGAGGGAGTTATTAGTGGGGTTTTTTGTTTTATTAAATATTTTATGTCCTGGTTTTGTATTTTTTTCTGTTGTGAACCTGGGATCTTTGGGTAAAGGGTGATATACAAATTTAATAAATAAAGATATCAAGAATGGTTTGAGGCTTCTCATGGTAAGAAAGGTTTGGTAATATCTGTAGTTCAAGTTGCGACTGTGAAGGCACAGGACCAGGAGCCAAGAAATGATGGCAAATCTGAGGAACAGGTGTGGAGAATTTCAGCTGCTCCAGGTAAACCCCCTGGGCTCAGTGCTGGAAATCCATCAGTAGAGCATTGCTGGCAGGTGGCTGAAAACCTCCAGTCAGGGATAGCCAACATGGTGCTCTCCAACTGGCCATCTTTGCTGAGGCTGATGTGAACTATAGTATAACATCAACTGGACGGCACCATGTTGGCTACCCCTGCTCTAGGTAATTGACTCCATTGTCGAATTGCTCTTACTATCAACATATTTCTCCTATCCTCCTGTAAATGAAGCCGATTTGATCAATCCCTAGGCTTCTGAAGCAGCAGAGTAAGGCTGTCTACACACTCCCATTTACTCTACATCTAGTGCTCTCCCCACCACTGGGTTGGGAAGCCGTGTGCACATGACAACAACCACAGTCCACATCCCCCCTGTTGTTTCTTGTGAAATACTGCATTCTGATGCACCAAACCAGTTTTGATCCCAATCGAGACCTGCTCATTGGCTGAATACATCCCTGCTTCCTGGTGTGGACATACAGCAGGCAGCTTAAGATACACAGAAAACCGTGCTGATCTGTACAACCACGTAGAAACACAGTTTTGAAATGCAGCCAAAAGAAAAGAACAACCTCACTGTGTTTTAAGCCAGTAACGCGTACACGGCAAAAAAAGCCTGTTCACGTATTTGAAGATTACTTCCTTCAGTGTATTTAAAGGAGGTGGGAATTGAGGAGCTTAAATTAGAGAGGGAGGATCAGGAACAAGGTAGAGAGACAGGAGCATCAGAAACAAACAGAGGGGTACCACTTTAGTACATGAAGGAGGCTGGGTATTCAACAGAATATTGGATGTAAAACACTGTGGGCAGAAGTAGCCAAAGGAGGTGAAATAGGAAAATATTTAGTGGCGGATGCAGTTTGCCCAGGATGAGTGGTGGGTTTATTTGAGTTTGTATTGAGATTTTTACCTTGCACTGTTATTCTTTTTTTACTTTTGAGAGAAGAAATAATAATAATAATGCATCATAGCTTATCTTGAAACCTCCATGACCAAATAGAATTAAAAACCTAAAAATGAATTATCTATTAACCTACTAAGCAGGCGCCGTATTAACTGTGCTGTCCAGATGTTTGATCAGGACATAAGACGTTAAATGCACGATAAGTACAATTTGGCTTGTCAGCAGCATTAGATCAGCCTGATATTCACTGAGACTGGCAGTGGCGCTTTTCAGAATTCGGTATTCAAAACGAACCAACGAAGGTAATTGAAGACCATCTGACATTCGTATAGCACATTTTGCCCACAGAAAGCTAGCTCTCCAATATCTATCATCATCATCGTTATTATTATTTACACTGCTAGCATGAAGTACTACAAACTTAGTAGTTTGAATGCCCATCAACAGATATGTTGCAGCTATGCACATTGATCCCAGAATCGTAGAATTCTGAGTTGAAAGGGACCACAAGGGCCATGCAGTCCAACCCTCTGCAATGCACATATCTTTTGCCCAACGTGGGGCTTGAACCCATGGCCCTGACATTAAGAGTCTGGGGCTCTACCAGCTGAGCTATCCCAGGCTGAGAATAAACTATAGCATGTTCAAGTGTCCAGAGCAATTCAAATTCATTAAATCAGAGCAATCCATACAAGAGGCCAGAAAGACAAGCCTGTTATTACGAACCCCGTGTTGCAGGGCAGGTAGCATCGTTTGGGAGAAAGGTGAGACAGAGGAGCAGGTGCTAAATGAAACACAGGGGGAAGGGCTATAGCTCAGGGGAGGAGCAGCCCCCTTGGAGGCAGAAGGTCCCAAGTTCAATCCCTGGCATCTCCAGGTAGGGCTGGGAGAGACCCCTGCCTAAAACCCTGGAAAGCCACTGCCAGTCAGTGTAGACACTACACTGGTCTGACGCAGCATAAGGCAGTTCCCTTTGTTCCTTTAAAGGTAAAGGGACCCCTGACCATTAGGTCCAGTCGTGGCCGACTCTGGGGTTGCGGCCCTCATCTCACTTTAGTGGCCAAGGGAGCCTGTGTACAGCTTCCAGGTCATGTGGCCAGCATGACTAAGCCGCTTCTGGCGAACCAGAGCAGGGCACGGAAATGCCGTTTACCTTCCCACCGGAGTGGTACCTATTTATCTACTTGCACTTTGACGTGTGTTCGAACTGCTAGGTTGGCAGGAGCAGGGACCGAGCAATGGGAGCTCACCCCGTCGCGGGGATTCAAACCGCCGACCTTCTGATCAGCAAGTCCTAGGCTCTGTGGTTTAACCCACAGCGCCACCCGCATCCCACAGATGACCTTTAGTGGTCGTTAAAACCCAGAGATTAATTTTAGGTGGTGTGGGATTCAAAGACTCCCAAACTGTGGTCCATGGGCCACTAGTGGTCTGCAGGCTTCATTCATGTGGTCCGCAGCATGTGCGCATTAAATGTTTGTTCTGATTTCTAATTGTATTATATTGCTTTATTTCCTTTTTTGCCTCTTATATTGTATTTTATTGCATTGCAATCTAAAATCTGTAGCATGCAACTTGCAATGCAATAGAATACAATATAAGAAATAAAAGAAGCAATGAAAATACAATTAAAAGCAGTTTAGCATCTAGCACAGCGCATCACAATTGCTATAACAGCAGAACAATCATTAAGAGGTCCACCAAGACCCTCAGCAATTTTCAAGTCATCTGCAAGGGAAAAGAAGTTTGGGAACCACTAACCTATTGTATTATTAGTTATTTTTTATATTACATTATTTATATATGACATACATCTCCTCCATATTTTATACTCACAACAACCCCATGAGGCATACCTTTCAACATTTCTCCGATGAAAATAGGGACGTCCTAAGGAAAAGCGGGACATTCTGGGATTAAATCAGAAACCGGGATGGCTTCTGTAAATCCAGGACCGTTCTTGGAAAATAGCAACACTTGGAAGGTCTGCATGAGGTTGTTTAAGCTAAGAGTGAGCGATTGGCTCAAGGTAACCCAGTGAGCTTTGTGGCTGAAATGGGGATTTGAACCCTGCTCTTCCAGGTCCTAGTCCAGCACTCTAACCACTACACCAGCCCGGGCACTATGCCACACTGATGGTTGGAGGGCATGAAACACTTGCAGAATGCAAAAATCTCTCGGTGGAAAATCATCTTTCTCCTTGCTGTAGATTCCATCTAGAACAGCTAGATTCAGCTAGAAGCACAACAGCAGTAATTGGCTGCTTGGCAATACAATAAGGTTGCTCAGCAGAGCTAGGAAGATTGTGTTACCTCCAATTACGGCTGTTGTGTATGGCCGCCGTGCTTATCTTGTGCACATTTGAGCTTTGCACAGATATGTCATAAAGGCTACAGCGCTTACATTTCATTTGGCCTCGCTATTCACACTGTCTCTCTCTTTATCCATGTGTCTGTATGTATATATGTCAACCCACTGAGACAAACACTTCATGCATCCAGGTCTAAACCACGAAAGCTCCTGCCAGAATTAATCTATTTGTCCTTAAGAGGATTTCTTGCTGTGTTTGCTGCAAAAGACTCACACAGCTAACCCCTCTACAACCATGACAGGGGAGGAAGTCTATAAATGTCAGGAGTCGCTCTTGATTGAAAAGGCACTCAAAGGGAAGTTGGGGCCCTCCTCTCGCAGCACCCAGTGCTGGAAGTTTACCAACACTTAACTAGGAAGAAATCTCACTGGAACCAATGAGACCTACTTTTAGCTATCCACGGTTAGAATTGGGCCACCTAAACTCAATGGAGCATGTCTCCAGGGGTGAAGTCAAACCGCTGTGTTAGCACCACCAAAGGGGCCCTCTTTGGGGTGCAAACCTGGGCAGTGTGTATGGGGGTCCTGGGCTGCCCAGACAACAAAAAACCCCTCTCAGCCTCACTGATGTGGTTGAAAGGAAAGGAAAGCAATACATTTGGCACCAGCTTGGTTGTAGGAGTTGCCGGAAAGAGACATACAAGGCTCCATCCAACCATCTTAGGATCAGAGTTTTCCTTCTCCCTCACTTCCATACCATCCAACTACAGTGGTACCTCGGGTTACAGACTCTTCAGGTTACAGACGCTTCAGGTTACAGACTCCGCTAACCCAGAAATAGTACCTTGGGTTAAGAACTTTGCTTCAGGATGAGAACAGAAATTGCGTAGCAGCAGCGCGGCGGCAGCAGGAAGCCCCATTAGCTAAAGTGGTACCTCAGGTTAAGGACAGTTTCAGGTTAAGAATGGACCTCCAGAACGAATTAAGTTCTTAAGCCAAGGTACCACCGTATTTCCAATGCAAAACCGGGACACATGTCTTCCAGGGTGTGCTCCTGGGCGAGACACATAGCCAGCCTCGCTCTTGCTGCCCCACTCCACCCCCCAAAAAAGCACTTTCTCGGAGCAAGAGCACACGAGATCACAGCACCAAAAATGGCCACTGAGATATTGCACAAAGAAACAGGATGTCCTGTTGTTCACAGGGCATTTGGAAAGTATGCCCTTCCCTCCACTACAGCATGTGAAGAAATTCTTTTAAGTGCCTGTTAAAAACTTTTTTTTTTTGTTTAGGCAAGCCTACTGACATATGCAGAATGCTGGCATGTACTTTAATCTGGTTTTGGGTTTGTTTTTGCTTATTAGTTTTATTTATTTATTTATTTATTTATTTATGGGTGTTTTAAACAGTTGTTTTGGATGCCATAAGAAATCTGAAACATTTGTTTTATTGTATCGTAGAAACAAAGATCCTCTTAAGAGTATGGTGCAAGATGAAGGAAAACTATGATTTAATTCAGAGGTATAGCATACTGCAGTGCAGAAGAACACAAGCAGAAAAATTGCATACCCACGCCATGTAAATTATGACACACGACTTTCTCTCTACCACTAAGAAGCAGGGATTTCTCCTGTCCCAAGTAAAGTGGTTGTGTGCTTCAGAAACAGCCCTGTATGTGCAAATCAGTGGTTATGTAAGTAAAGGTTGGGGACTTGCTGGGCTGAGATGTGGACAACTAGGGTTCAAATCCCCATTCAGCCACTGCGTGACCTTGGACCAGCTATACACACTCTCTTACAGCCTAAGCTATCTCACAGGGTTGTTTTGTGGATAAAACGAGAAGGGGGAGAACCAAATACACCACCTAAAATTCATTGGAGGAAAGGTGGGATCTAAATAAAAATATTAAACATTTGAGAAAGAAAGAAAAGACTTGGGAATGCATGTGTGAACGCATGCTCTGAGTCAACGCCAGTGCAGAAATCCGAACGCCAATCGGCACATGTTTTCCCATGCAACACACTATGATCTGGTCCACATCTGCATTAAGACTAGATCAAGTCACATTATGGATGGGATAGCTCAGTCGGTAGAGACTATTAATCTCAGGATTTTGGGTTTGAGCCCCATGTTAGGGCAAAATATCCATGCACTGCAGGGGGCTGGACTAGATGACACTTGTGGTCCCTTCCAGCCCTACAATTCTATGATTCTATGTAATGAACACACATCCCCTCCCTACGGTTCATCTTTCATAAATGCGGGGAGCTTTCTTTCTCAGAACTGAGCAGATGTACTACTACCATATTTTTTTTCCTCCGGCGTGCATTTTGAAGAGGACAGCAGCCTTCACTAAAAATAAATTTAATCAGAAAACTGGGCACAGCAATGTGGGCATATGAATTAGATCCACCTGCAAAGGGAAATCCCTCTGGACCATTTGGAGCAGTTTGCAAGAGTCAGATCTGAAATCTATCTTGTCAATGAGATTATGGCAGTTTCTAATGCGCCTTCAGATATATGGCATAGATCACGGCATATCTGGGGAGTTCCCGGTAATTTAATCAAAAGAGCTCGTTAAATAGTCTTTTCTCGCTTCAATTACTGCTTGGCTGAATTTTGCCAGCAGAGGAAACACAGCACAGGATGAAGCTTTCTATATGCAAAAACATAATGTTTAGAAGGAAGGGAGGACAGAGAGGGAGTCTGATTCTCCGCACCTCCACACCAAAAAATAACCCCCCTGAATCATTGCAGGAGCTTAGGAAGACCATTGGGTCCATCTAGCTCAAAAGACCTCCAGAGGTTGCTGAACTATAACCTGGGCCTGTGTCTTGAGTATGCTGCCTTATAGAAGTGAGTCGTGGGCAACCTGCAACCATCAGGAGCCTCGACGCCTTCCACATGTGATGCGTCAAGAAGATTTGAGGTATCACATGGCAGGGAAAGGTAAAGGGACCCCTGACCATTAGGTCCAGTCGTGGCCGACTCTGGGGTTGCGGCCCTCATCTCGTTTTATTGGTCGAGGGAGCCGGTGTACAGCTTCCGGGTCATGTGGCCAGCATGACTAAGCTGCTTCTGGCGAACCAGAGCAGCGCACGGAAACGCGGTTTACCTTCCCGCCGGAGCGGTACCTATTTATCTACTTGCACTTTGACGTGCTTTCGAACTGCTAGGTTGGCAGGAGCTGGGACTGAACAACAGGAGCTCACCCCGTCGCGGGGATTTGAACCGCTGACCTTCTGATTGGCAAGTCCTAGGCTTTGTGGTTTAACCCACAGCGCCACATGGCAGAACAGAATTCCGAACAAATATGTGCTTTCCCAGCCCTGTCTCAGCGATATCTATGCTGGATTGGTCGTGTCCACAGAATGGAAGATGGCAGGATCCCCAAGGACGTGGTCGAAAAGGAGCGGGCTTCAGGCACCAGGCCTGTTGGCAGACCAACTCTGTGCTACAAAGATGTCTGCAAACGTTACATGAAGGCTAACAACATCCCACATTGCTATGTGGGAATCCCTTGCGGACAGCCGCAGCGCATGGAGACTGGCAGTCAAGTCGTGTATCCACAGCAGCAACCAGAGGAGGAATAACCGCTCGGAGGAGAGCGGAAAGAGAAAAAATGCCTTGGTGCATCTGCAGCAGCACAACTGGACGCCTTAATCTGCCCCAGCTGCAATAAAACTTGTCTCTCCCACATCGGTCTCTACAGCCACAGCAGGCACTGCAACCTGCCAACAGCTTGATTTCACCCACAAAGGCGCGCTCCTCCATTGCTTCCCAAGATAGACAGGTGCCAACAGCAGCTCCTGTGAGCTCCAGCAACTAATGCACTCACTGCCTGAACATTACAAACAGAAGGAATTAAACATCCTTCCCCTATTCAGAGATGGTGAGCAATCCTATTCTCACTTACCTGGGAATGTGCCCCACTGAACTTAAAGGAGCTTGCTTCTGAACAGACATGCATAGGACTGCAGTATTAATTTGCAGAGATCGGAAGTGGGAATGAGGAACAAATGTTCAAAACTGGTTCAAGGAACCGTTGGCTCTCCAGATGTTGCAGAACTACAACTCCCACCAGCCCCCAGCAAGCACGGGCAAAGGTATGGTGGGAGTTATAGTTCAGCAACAGCTGGAGGACCAAAGGTTCCCCACACCCAGTTTAAAACAAGGCATCCTCAAAAAGCAATAAATAAATAAATCTAGGGATAAAGGAGAGACAGTGATTTACCAAGGGCTGGTTCTAGAAAATAGGAACATTTGAAGAATATGAAATAAATACAGCCTTTACAATCCATTT